CATAATTCTCAACTTGGCATGGAACATTCTCGAACACGGGTCTGGAAAATCCTAGACCACAACGTAGAACATTCCTACTTTTTCGTTAATTACTATAGCGATTTATTTAACCTAAATATAAATGGTAAACTTACATATTTCGTATTCTTGCCACAAATATACTATTGCAATGAAGTGCCACATTTTAAAGATGTAAAACTATAGTATAGAAGCCACTGTTTAGATGCCATATATAAGGCATCTTTTCTAGCGGTTACGGGAGTCGCGACACCTCTTGCGTGACAAGAATCGAGCAGACGGTTAACTTTAATCAGGTTGCCAGATGCATTCCTCCTACTTGGGATATTTCATGCATATTTGTACTTATATTGGATATCTACAACACCACACTACCCACCATAAGATAACAAAAGCCATCTTGGATATCATTTTCCAAAATACTGTGTACCTGTCAGAAAACTGACTAGTACAGTAAAATAACAAGCCGTTAACCGCGATCATTCCCATTACGTCACAGAAATGGGCGGAGCTTAGAGGCTTGTCTCGCCTCCGATCACGAGACAGCTTTTGGTGTTGCGTCGCGTCGCGCGACACTCTAAGTGCCACCGGAAAAGATGCCTATATATATATATATATATATATATATATATATATATATATATATATATATATATACATACATATATATATATATATATATATATATATATATATATATATATATATATACATGTAGAGAGAGACCACAGGCTTTCTGAATCTTTTATTCTTATTTTACTTCGCCTTTGCAACAAATGAAATTGGTGTGGCCTAATGATGATATGGTATGATAAAGATAAAAGGATAATAATGATAATAATCATTATTATTGTTATCATAATCATGTCCGGTGACTGTCCTTTCGTGTTTGTATCAATACCACCACAAAATACGGAGAATACTTTTCTTATGATTACGTTTTTACGGATGCCAGGGGGGGGTGCCAACGGGAACGTATAGGCATCTTTTCCAGCGGTCACGGGAATCGCGACACCTCTTGCGCGACAGGAATCGAGCAGACGGTCAACTTTAATTGAGTTTCCAGATGCATTCCTCCTACTGCGGATATTTCATGCATATTCGTACTTATATTGGATATCTATAACACCGCAATACCCTCCATAAGATATCAAAAGCCATCTTGGATATCATTTTCCAAAATACTGTGTACCTGTCAGAAAACTGACTAGTACAGTAAAATAGCAAACCGTCAACCGCGATCATTCCCATTACGTCACAGAAATGGGCGGAGTTTAGAGGCCTGTCTCGCCTCGGATCACGAGACAGCTTTTGGTATCGCGTCTTGCGGAAAAGATGCCTAAGATCTGTACAAACCAGGTAATAGATTTTCACGACAAATTTCTCAGGGAACTCACGGATACGACTTAAAATAGATGCAAGTACTTGTCTGTGCAGATAAAGCCTTATCATGATTATTATCAGAATTGTAAGCACTACTATTTTCACTACCACCATTATTGTTATTATTATCATTATTTTTACATTGTTGATAATGATAAGGATATAAAGAGAAGTATAAGGATAAAATGATCAAGATAATATTAATGTATAATAATTATTATTGTTATTGTTAGTATGATAATTGTTATTATTAGTAGTAGCAGTAGTAGTAGTATCAGTATCATTATAATTACCATCATTAGTATTATTAGTTATTATTGCCATTATAAGTGTTACTTTTTTATTATTATTATTGATAATAAGGATAATATCATCATTATCAGTTTAATTGCTGTTATCATCACTATTGTTATTAGCATTGACTTTCTTATCATTATTATTATTTTATTATTAGTATTACTATTATTATTGTTGTTTTTACTATTATTGTTGTTATTATTATTATCATTTTTATTATTATTGTTATTATTGTTGTTATTTTTATTGTTGTTATTATTATTATTATTAATGATATTATTATTATCATCAGCATCATCATTATTATTAATATTATTGTTATTATTACTATTCTTCTTATTATTATTATTGTTATTATTATCACTATCAATAATATTATTATTATTGTTATATTTTGTTATCATTATTATCATTATTATTATCCTTATTATCATTACTGTTATTATTATAATCACTATTGTTATTGTTATTTTCATTATTATTATTATTATTATCATCGACATCGACATCGACATCGACATCGACATCGACATCGACATCGACATCGACATCGACATCGACATCGACATCGACATCGACATCGACATCGACATCGACATCGACATCGACATCGACATCGACATCGACATCGACATCGACATCGACATCGACATCGACATCGACATCGACATCGACATCGACATCGACATCGACATCGACATCGACATCGACATCGACATCGACGACATCGACATCGACATCGACATCGACATCGACATCGACATCGACATCGACATCGACATCGACATCGACATCGACATCGACATCGACATCGACATCGACATCGACATCGACATCGACATCGACATCGACATCGACATCGACATCGACATCGACATCGACATCGACATCGACATCGACATCGACATCGACATCGACATCGACATCGATCGACATCGACATCGACATCGACATCGACATCGACATCGACATCGACATCGACATCGACATCGACATCGACATCGACATCGACATATTATTATGATCATGATCATGATCATTATTATTATTATTATTATTATTATTATTGTTGTTGTTATCATTATTATAATCATTATTATTATTATTATTATTATTATTATTATTATTATTATTATTATTATTATTATCATTACTATTATTATTATTGTTATTATTATTATCATTATCATTATTGTCATTATCATTATTATTATTGATATTATTATCATCATTATTATTATTATTATTATGATCATTATTATCACTATCATTATTATCATTATTATTATCCTTATTATCATTACTATTATTATTATTATAATTATTGTTATTGTTATTTTCATCATTATTATTATCCTTATTATCATTACTATTATTATTATTATTATTATTATTTTTATTATTATCATTATTATCATTGTTATTATCATTATTATTATCATTATTATTATTATTATTATTATTATTATTATTATTATTATTATTATTATTATTATTGTTATTATTATTATTATTATTATTATTATTATTATTATTATTATTATTATTATTATTGTTATTATTATTATTATCATTATCATTATTGTCATTATCATTATTATTATTATTGATATTATTATCATCATTATTATTATTATTATGATCATTATTATCACTATCATTATTATTATTATTATCCTTATTATCATTACTATTATTATTATCATAATTATTGTTATTGTTATTTTCATCATCATCATCATCATCATCATCATCATCATCCTTATCATTATTATCATTATTATTATTATTATTATTATTATTATTAGTAGTAGTAGTAGTAGTAGTAGTATCATTATTATTATGATGATGATGATGATTATTATTATTATTATTATTATTATTATTATTATTATGATCATGATCATTATTATTAATACTACTACTACTACTACTACTAATATTATTATTATTATTATTATTGTTATTATTATTATTATCATTATCATTATTGTCATTATCATTATTATTATTGATATTGTTATTATCAATATTATTTATTATTAATATTGTTATTGATATTATCATTATCACATCATCATCATCATCATCATTATTCATCATCATCATCATTAAAAAGGTAATTATCATTATTTTTATTATCATCATTATCATTATTATTATCATTAGTATTATAATTTTTATTATCATTTGCTATAATCTTTATTGTTACAACTACTATTACTACTACTATTGTCATTATTATCATTGTAGTATTATTGTTAATATGATTACCATTATTAGCATTATGATTACAGTGATAATGATCATCATCATCATGATCACTACTATTCTTACTATTATTATTATCATTTCTCATGTTATTAGTTACTATCATTGTTATAACTGCAACTACTGTTACTACTACTATTGTTATTAATATTTTTGTAGCATCATTGTTATTAATGCTATTATTATCATTATTAGTATTGTCATTATTATTGCTATTACTGTTATGATTGTTATTATCAATATCAATGTTACTATTATCATTATTATTTATTATTATCATGATTAATATCACCATCATTATTTTTCTTTATTATTGATTCTCATTATTATCATCATTCAATTATTGCTATTATTATCATTATTATTATTAGTAGTAGGACTATTATTATTATGATCAGTACTATTATTATGATAATGAAAATAATAATAATAATGTTAAACAATAATAGTAATAATGATAATAGTAATAACAATAATAAAAAAAAAAAAATCAACATTGTCATCATTATTGATATTACCACTGTTATTGTTTATTTTGTTATTATCATCTCAATTATTGTCCTTATAATTGTTATTGTTATAATCATTGTTTATTAATTTTATTTATTTTTAATTATTATAATTATTTCTAAGGTTCATATCGATATTATCATTATTTTTGTTGTTATTATTATTTTTATTATTATCACCAATGTTATTGGAGTATCATTATCATTACCATTATTAGCCCCAGTCATCATCAGTGTTTCTATTGGTCAGTGTCTCTATCCATTTCACTTGTACAGAGGTTAGGTGTAATGGACAGTGGAAGCTCTCCCTATTTCTCATCTTGTGCCCTCGAGCTACAACAAACCTCAACGCACTTCCTAACATCAAGATTAACCTTTGAGTCACTTTGTGAACATCTTCTTGAGCACCTCCATGAATAATTAATCTTCATGTTCTTGTTTTACATCTGTCCAAACGTTACTGATAGCTGCAGGTATGTGGTCCTGTTTGAAATATAAGGATATATATTCTCTTGTGCATAATCATTTTATGGGACAGTTTATTCAGTGTTAGGTTATGGAAACTCTTTTTTTTTGGTACATTGTATTCAGGTCTACTGAATAATAGAGAAGGGTAGATTGAGCACATTGCTAATTGTAACATTTAATCTAAATACTTAATACATGTTCCTTCTCTCTCATTTAATAAGGGAATAAGGGAATAACATTTGATGAAAGTAAAAAAAAATTATAAATTTCTTGTTGGTAAAGAGGTGAGTCTGTCATATAGTGAACTCACACACTTTATGAACTTAAACAATTTGAAAATCATTTGCAGATTAGTCAACATACAGTCTTTCACAAAATTCAGTTGTAAAAACGATTCGTTGCAATGCAGTAATATAGAAAAGAAGTGTGTTTGTAGTATCAAGAATATAATACTCTCTCATACCTTAAATATGACACTATTCTACAAGCAAAGTGAATTATTAATCAAGGAATCCTGGTGTATCAATTCACAGTACTTTATAGCAAGTTATTTTTTAATTCCTTTTAGATAATTGAATATATATTAATTATTCAATCATCATTAAATGCTACCATGTCCATACAATACATTATCACTCTTCCAAAAGTTTGGTAACATACATATCAAATATACCTTTATTTTCATTTTTGGAAAAAAAAAAAAAAAAAAAAAAAAAAAAGGTCATTAAAATAGGGATCTATGTCCTTGACTCATCTAAAGTGAAGGCTATTATCAATATAACAAAACTGCTATGAATGAAAACTTTTTTTTATAAAATAAATGTTTTTGCTTTCTTTTTTTGGCTATATTGGATATTTTTTATATTCAATATGATGTTTAATATGCTGAATTTTTTAGCTGCAATAGAAATGCTGTTTCACTCAAGGCTAACAAGCCCACATTTCAATTCAAATTTTTATATTTCATTCTAACCCTATGTTCGTATACAGAATTCAATTTGTTTATTGAGACAAAGATGCATTTAGGATTCACTCAGTTATCAAATAATCATCATTACCAGCCTGTGAACCTGTTCTCAGTTATCAGCGACCTGAAGAGTGCACCTATGCCTTGATAAAAAAGAGTATAGTTTGCTGTGTTGTGCATAATAATATCTGACTGAATATCTTCCTGTTTCCATTTTCTGCATTAGTGCCCCCAATTTTGCAAATAATACTTCTCATAAGTTTACTACAGAGAAGATATCTAAACAGGAGAGATAAACTTAAAAACTACTGAATACAAAAGGATGAGCATCTTGTGAGATGAATTCTTACATGAACTACCTAAACATTTAAAAAACAATATCCTATACATTTTGTTTGTATTATACTAAAATACAAATAACAAAACCAATAAAGCAAGGAAAAATCACAGCCATAAGTTACAGATATCAGAATTAAGCACGAGAGGCATATTCAACAGTCGGAATAGAAATTATAAAGCAGTTTCCATTCCTGTCCCCTACAGCAACAACTACAAACTGTTCATGAAAATAGGACACCACTCTAGACACAGGACGAGAAGACACTGACAAGGTAAGTATAGGTGGGAGGTTCTCCAAAACAGTCCAGTCAATGAGGGTACCTTTTGTCTTGTTTCTCATGAGAAGTTGGTACACCAAAAGATGTCCTGTGAAAATATTAAAATATTAATTGACTGAGCCATATATTCACATATCTGCGTGTGTGTGTGTGTGTGTGTGTGTGTGTGTGTGTGTGTGTGTGTGTGTGTGTGTGTGTGTGTGTGTGTGTGTGTGTGTGTGTGTGTGTGTGTGTGTGTGTGTGTGTGTGTGTTGGTGTGTGGTGTGTGGGTGCGTGGGTGCGTGCGTGCGTGCGTGCGTGCGTGCGTGTGTGCGTGCATGTGTGTGTGTGTGTGCGTGCATGCGTGTGGGTGGGTGTGCAAGTGTGCGGGGTGTGGGGGATGGTGTAGGGTGGTGTAGGGGTGGGTGTAGGGGTGGGTGTAGGGGTGGGTGTGGGTGTGGGTGTGGGTGTGGGTGTGCGTGCATGCGTGTGGGTGGGTGTGCAAGTGTGCGGGGGTGTCGGATGGGTGTAGGGTGGGTGTAGGGGTGGGTGGGGTGGGTGTAGGGGTGGGTGTAGGGGTGGGTGTAGGGTGGGTGTGGGTGTGGGTGTGGGTGTGGGTGTGGATGTGCAGGTGTGCGGGTGTGCAGGTGCATGTGTATACATGTGCATGTGTCAATGCTATCATCTGCGACTATATGGCAATCAAAGACTATATTCCATTAGGCTAAGTATTGTATAATGGACATATTAAAAAAATTTATTAACCTTGACTTGTGCCACAGAAGACGAGTCCTCTTTTGTAGTGTATGGCTGTTGTCTCCAATGCTAAAACTTTTCCCACTCTTATTTTAGCCAACGTCAAGATGCATATGCTTGAAGACTGTAGGAAAAATGGTATTCGATCAACTGATGAAACAAATTTTGTTATCAGAAAAAAATAATAGGGTATAAAATATCAAGAAATTACCTAAAACTATTACCTAAAGAAGAAATATATTTCCCTAAGTTCCTTTAAATATAGTAAATCAAAATTACCAGTCAGTAACAGTTATAACAGAAATTGAAAAATTGTCAAATTTCTAACAAATAGTAACTGAAGTCAAGAGATAGAAGAAAAGTAATTATTTTTTTAGTAACTTCCAATGAACAGCTAAGTGACACAAAAAGAAAATTAAGCTAACCCTGAATAAAAATATTGATAATTTTACATTTTGCTGTAGCAAAATGTAAAATTATCAATATTCTTATAAAATCATTTCTTATTTCATGGATGGTCAAATCAGCAGTTAAATAAAGATTGGTGATAAATGTTAATCTTGGACTGCATAGAAAGACGTATTTTGTTCAAAAGATCTCTTTGCTGAACAATGAGAAAGTTTCCTAATCATTTACCTTTAAAGTTTTCGGAGGTATACTTATGAACAACAAACTAAACATAATGTACAAAAAAGTACCTCTGGAAAGGCTTGTATATGTGATTCTGGTTTCTCAGGCAAAACGGCTACTGGTGGCATCTCAAGAACTGGACTTTGGCTTCCTGAACCCAAGTGACCCCGTTTTACTACACTTGTGTTACCCACACCTTTCCGGCCTCTCTTGACCCAGCTTGCCAACACACTTTCACATAGAAGCCAGTAGTCCCTGTCTCGGTCCATGTGCCAGTAGGCTGAAAAAATCGTCATGATTATCATTGTAAGTGGAAGTCACACTATATTTTTAAATGTAAGGAAAGACTACAAAGAAAGAATAAGAAAAAAAAAAGGGGGAAAACTATATTAAATCCTCTTGCATCACTAACTAAGCTTCATGATGGTATCAACACTAGAAGTATTACAAGAAATTATATAGTTTTCTGAGATGTAAAGGGTTAAATGTTATTATCTAAAATGGGTGAAATTTACTCAAAGAGGGGATATTTGCTGAGAATGAAAATCAATAATCCTTGTAGGCAAGATGAAGTATTCCCAGCACACAGGAGGTAATATAGAAGCAAATAAACAGATAGCTGCCATAGCAAAGAATATCCATTGTAACAAATGGAATTCAGACAATTTTATATTTTTTTCAACTAACCTTTTGGATTTATACATTCTTATTTATACATGCCTTTACAATTGCCAAAATTAACTGTTATAAATGCTATGTAATGTTACTATCATACCTTTAAGACAGTTATATATTTTACCTAGTATGCTCTGATTGAATTACTTTATAAAAATTTGTACGGTGATATTTCTGCAAATTCTACAATTATTTGCTTTTATCATCTCTCCAGTTTTACAATCCTATAAATGTTAACTTCTCAACTTGTAACAAAATGGTATAATGATATTGTAAATTTATTGTGTACATACATCTACTTAGCATAATACTATAGAAACTTCAGATATTGACTATATTAAGACTTTCTCACTTTAAATGCTAATTATGTGCACTTATTTTTTTCTTTTACAGAAAGTAACATGCATAATCCATACATAATTCTAAGTGCAACAAGAAGCATTTCATGGAGCATGAATTATTTCTCAAATAAATCTGTGGAAATCCATTTACTTTATACATCAATTGTCATATAACATAATATTGAAGAATTCTTTACTCTCATAATTTAGGTTTATTACAATATTACCTACTCTAAGTCATGTTTATGAGAAACTATTTAGTGTACACTATATAAATAAATTAATATGAATACATCTACAATATTTCTAAATTCAAATGAAACTGTAAAGCTAATGTCTGTTAAAATTGATTACAGATGAATTAGATAATATACTCTCTTATATATTTTTTTTCTTTTTCTTAAAAATGAACCAGTAACATCAAATATAATCATTTATAAATTACAGTATATGACAACTTCATCTACTGTACATCTAAAACTTACACAACAGGGTTCTTGATGTGATTGTGGAAGCAAAGACAAGACCTCTGGTAAGAATAGTTGGATTAGGATACCGCAAATCCTTATAGAGTGGAGATTCTGCTACTAGATTTCCTGTCACTGTGTATGAGGAAACATAACCACCAGAT